TTTTAATAATTTTGTTTTGCAGGAATCCCCCCCCCCCCCAAAAACAACAACAACAACAACAACTATACAGTTAGAAATGGGAATGCCCTCATTATATATATTTTGTAAACATGGGGAAATAAATAAATCATTAAATAAAAAGCCAATATTAAGTTCCAAATCATTTGGAATTTGCAAAAACAATATGGAGTAGGTCTCACAGCTTTAAAATTAGAACATAATAGTTTAGTAAGAAAGTAAGTAAGAACATAATAGTTTCATACAGCAGTGACTGAGCCCATGCATACCATATGGGAAAAAAACACTTTCTTTCAAATCTCACTCAAGGTGCTTTTCTCTCAGATTTTCATTCTTCTTAAGGAAAACTAGTTAGTTTTCACATTATTGTTTAAATAAAAATGATTCTCTTCAAATTCTTGCTTACACTTATTGCACAGGCCACTTTGCATATATTTTTTTTTCCAAAAAAAAACAAAACAACAACAGAAAAAAAGCTTAGTAGGCAACACAAAGACCAATATCATTAACTATTAAATTACACACACACACACACACACATATATGAAAAAAAAATTAAGGTCAAGTTTAACCAATACTTGCAACTTACTTGTTACCTTGGAGCACTAATCAAAATTTGTGTGTTCTTCTACAAATATTATACACCATCATGGTATTAAATTGACAAGCTCAAGCAGGTCCCTATTTCCACAATATCATAACTGTTCATGCCTGTTAATACTCAACGTACATGACTGTCATCATCGGATGCCATGATGTAATTTCATTTAGGAGACACTTTAAAAGGACCTTTTAAAGGACGAGAGTGACACATTTAAACATCCTCTGATCAACTTGAAGACTGTATTGTACTAATGTGTTGCTGCTAAAGCCTTTTGCACATCACAGGCTACAATTTGTACAATAAACAGCTTAAGCTAAATTACATAACAGTAGCTACTCTAGTAGCACATTTCAGATGTAGTTGACCTGATAAACACCAGCTGAGAAGCAAATCAGAGTTGTAAGACAATTAGCCAACCACATTCATGTTGCATTTTTCTCTGGAAATAGACAATAATTATGTGGCTTTGTTGATGTCATTCAGGTAATGTCAATCAGGGTGGAATAAAAATTTCCTCACAAACGTTTGTGGAACTATACAGCTTTTGAAGGTTAACAAAAATGTCACCAATTAAATATTTACGACTACAGTGTTAAATTGTAATAGCCAATTAGTTAGGGATTTTTGTTATAAAGCATATGGTATAGGGTGAGTTTTATGTTTTAATAAAGCCATAGATCAAATGTTATCATGGACATATCAATATCTACATCTAAATCTGATTCAGTTTTTAAATAACTTATAAATACTCGCCGACCACCTTATTTGGTCCAACCAGTAATTTCTATGGAATGAAAAGTTCTATTATCATTAGGACATAACAAGTGGTTTTATTAGTTACTCCATAACACCTTTATAATTTTCACATGTGCACCTTTATGGTTCGTAACGATTATCTAAATCAGACAAATGGTCACTTTTTGCTATCAAATCATCACAACTGCACGATTGGTTCATTTGCAGTAGCACATACATTTGCTGATGAACAAACTGGGAGGCAAAATGTCATTCATGTTGTTGGAATATCAACCAAAGGGCACAAAAATGGGGTTTTAAAGTTAAAGAAAGTTTAAATTATGGAGATCAAACAAATACTTGAACAAAATATTTGAGGAAAATCATTGCTAATTTAAAAAGTTCTGATTATGCCACCTATAGATGGGCCACATGTATATTAAAACCTTAACAGGTAGGGCTTCCTTTAGCAAGACAAATAAAAGCAGTATCAACAAAGCCATTAATGAAGGTCCAAGCCAGAGCATGCTTTAATATATATATATATATATATCTTAGTTAAAGCACAGACAGACACATGAAGAATGCAGTGCAGTTATGTAAAGGGCTGCTGGAAGGATGTCCAAGCCTGGTCTGATTGTTCTCATGAGGTGTCTTGCAGCATCGGCCTCCATGGTTGCTCTCGATGGCTGTAGGACTGGATCGGTCCCATTCACTGAGAAAGCAGTTCTGACATCTTGGAGTCAGCTTTTCAAACTCTGCAACACAGTTGGAGTTAAAGAGAGCTTGGGGGAGGAAGAGGATTGCACGCAAAGAGCAGGCTCTTGGTCGTCATAGTCAATGGAGACTGTAGTGGAAAGCATGAGGTCCTCTGTGGAGATGGCCAAGTCACCTAGCTTGGCCAGCGAATTAGACCTTTTGAGTTGGGAGGACATAGTCAATCCAGTGAGCCGCACACGGGTCTCGATCTCTCGAGCTCGCTGGCGTACCAAGCTCGGCTGGCCTCTGCGAATTCTCTGCAGACTGTCGCTGCTGGAGCTGCGTGTCAGGGCCGAGCCCAGTGCGAGCGTTTGCTGGAGTTCACTGGAACCAGGGTGCAAGTTGGGGACGTTCCCGTCATCCACTTCCATGTCCTCTGTGGCAGTGTCCTCTATGCTCAAGTCCATCTGTTCCGACTGAGGACCGGACAGTTGCTCCAGTCTATGGCGCACCAGCTGCGTCTCCAGTGGGGCCCCCTGACTGAGCTCCGCCGTAGGCCTCTCACCACCCAGACTGAGCCTCAGGAGAGTGAGCTCTGTCGTAGGACTACTGGAGCATTCCTTGCTCCCCTCGTCCTCCCCTTCCATTTTGTCCTCAGTCTCCAAGGAATGACGCAAATCCTGAGAAAGGTCTTCGCAGCTCAGTTGCTTGTTGTAAGTGTCCGAGTTGGCTCGACCGAAGCAACGAATGCACTGGCAGTGCCCGCTGCTCATGTGATGCAGAGGGGCAGGAGGAGGCACCTTATTAGCGGAGACGGGACTGAATGTGTGTCCTCTGGGGGCCTGGATGGACAAACTGGGCAGGCCAGTGTGACGTGGCAGGTTAAGGCGATGGGTGCGACGTTCGCAGCGGCGGCCACTGGGCAGGCGCAGGCAGTCTCGGCACGACTGATATGAGGGCTTCACTTTGTAGGGGTTTCCAATGCTAGCACTGTCCTAAACCGATGAATACACACAGGCAGGGAGAATGCATGGTTAGGTTTTTTAAAGGTGTAAGAGTACGGGATGCTTTAGAGAAAGTAAAGCGTTTAGGATGGATTCACAGAAAAGAGCTCTGAGCTCTGAGCTATAAGCTTGCATACAAGCCAGGAGAGCTGCCGCTACAGCTAAGACGTCATACTCACGTCAAAGCCAGAAGGGCAGCTGCGTTTCCCAGCCAGCCTGTTGCTGTTGTTGGCGTTCTCGTTGTTAAAGCGGTTCGAGTTAGCCAGGCTCTCGTCTTCCCTCGGCGTCTCCTCGCCACGAGCTAAGGCGGCCATCTCCGCCTCCTCCTTTTGTGCTTCCTCCTCATCCTCCTCCTCCACCGTGCTAAACTCCAGCCTCAAGCGCATGTCCTCTATAGGCTCCAGTCGGCCACAGGTCTGGGCTGCTGTGCCCTCCCCAGGAAGGGCCAGGTGAGCCATGGGGAAGCCTTCATCGTCCAACAACGCATCCCTCTCTACATCCTCAATCTCAATAAAGACTCGTTCCATGCCTAAAAGTGGAGGACCTCGAACTGGCGTGGAGGGTTCACTGTCCAGAGCAGTGTCTGATAGTCGCCGGAAGTAGTAGTTGTAATTGAGATGGTCTGTCGGCTCTTCTCCGCAGCAGGGGGAAGCACTTGCTCCACCATGGCCCCAAGCGGTCTGTTCTTGATCGGGGTGCAGTGACGAAAATTGAGGAGTCTGGTCACCACTGGCAGCTGAAGCCTGGAGGCCCTCAAGAGAATACTCGTCACCAGCAGGTTGCCAGAGTTTGTTGTGTCTCTGCTTGCTACAATGACAGGAAACAAAGGTAGCAGTCACCTCTTGAAAAATTGTGAAAAAAAGAAAATACAGTCAAAGAAAACTGACAAAAAAAGATAGGTTTGGTCCCTTTAGACCAGGGCTGTCCAAACTTGGTCCTGGAGGGCCAGTGTCCAGCAAAGTTTAACTTCAACCCTAATTAAACACACCTGAAGCAGCTAATCAAGCTCTTACTAGGCATAGTGGAAAATACCAGGCAGGTGTGTTGAGGCAAGTTGGAGCTAAACTCTACAGGACACCCACTGCTTTAGACTATGTGGTCACAAGAAACAGTTGAGTTTTTGATGTTTATGTCCCCACCAAGTCTTTGTTGTTCAGTTAATTTTCACTAGAAAGACCATGCTAGTGGACCAGCTTCGCTAGCACCAAACCAGCATAAGCCAGCCTGGACCTGGAAATTCATGCTGTTCTAAAGCTGGTCTTTCACATTATTCAGAGTGACATTCACAATGATTAAGAAATGTACAAATGAAAAAGTAAGATGCTCTGAATAAACTGTGTATGCTAAATGAATAAATATAAATGTGAATGCAAATGGAAGAAGAATGCTATATATGATGTCAAAAAGAACGTGTCTAATTATCTTGGTATTTCCCACCTGGCATCTAAAATCCCCTCGTACTCAGCAAGTTGTTTCATAAAAGCTGGATTGGGTTGTGCTATATTCCTCTTCTGTTTGACAAAACTGTACGCCTTCTCAAGCGACCATCCATACTCCTTCATAGCATAAGCAATGACGGTGGATGCTGAGCGACTCACTCCCATCTTGCAATGTACAAGGCATTTAGAGTTGTTTTTCCTATATGAAAGACATACAGGGCACCCATGTCAAAAAAATCTTTTGTCAAAACATATGGGTACAATACAGCTTTACTGAGTGAAACAGCACATGACGGGAACAACAACACACGTTTCTAGTATCTTTCTAAACATGAAAAGTAACTCACTTGGCTTTAACTATGAAGTTGTAGGTTTCGTTCCAGTGTGCCAGCAGATCTGTAGTCTCATCATCATAAACTCGGACATTACAATAACAAAAGGTACCTGGGAAAAAGTTGTCAATCTCTTTTGTGACATTGAGGATATACCCAACCCTGCATAAAAATAAACAGATGTTAGACTGCTGATTTGTGTTAAATACACATATAATTTTAACTCAATGCACAGTCGGTCGATGTATAGCAGCACTAACCCAGAGTCTTGAAGCTCCTCCAAGTTGGATGCATTCCATTCTGAGCCCTGCAATTAATGAGATGTACAACAACCATAGCTTTATTTGTTTCAGAGTCTTAAAGCTCCTGTCGATAACCATGTCATTTTGTTGTAAACTTAATGGGATCTTGTTTTCAGTGGATGCGACTAAGAATGATCAAGTTTAGAGCAAGTGTACTACAATTATGATTTAGGTCATTAAATACTGCATTAAAAATGTTTTTAAATAAAATATAAGTAAAATAATGAAAAAAATTGTTAGCCAGCCTTTTTGATCTTTACAGTTAATCTTATCTGCAGACTCCTGCGTGTTTTTTTTGTTTACATAGTGCAAATGCTGCAAATTGGCCCTTCTTACCATTTGTGAACTTATCTGTAATGTTTTGCTGTTTTCAATAACCAGAAGGATTAATGATTTTTTTGTGGATTAATCTAAAATCGTTTGAGAAAGCTGGGCAATGCATTAGTGCATGCATGCAGGTTTTCCCCCCAGCCCTATCAGTGAACTAACACTATGTGCATCTCTTTTTAGGTAAGCAAACAAGAATCAAACATGGATGGCAGAGAAATCTTGAAGGAAGCTTTACCAGGTACAGATGATCAAATATGAGTGTAGCCTTGTCCATCTGGCCCAGGATAAGCAGCATCTCATTGTCAATAAACTCTTTATACTCCCTCAGGTTGCAGCTCATATGTTGTTCCAGTTCATTTCGGATCTACAGAAGTGAAAGGATTCAGTTTAATACTCCTGCCATGGCTGATGCATTAATGTAAACCATGGCACAAAAGCCTCATTACATATACCTCCTTAGAAGTAATATTTTCCAGGTCCTGAAACATCATTATGTTTCGGAGTTTGGCTTTGATTAAACACTCTGTTCTCTCTCTCTCTGTTGGCCTGTGCATGACATGAAAAACAATGTTAATATAAACAAAATAATTTAGGGTTTCAGTCCCATAATAAGCCCCCAAAATAAAATTTTAGTACCATATCAGAGTACTCAATCTTATTTCACTATAATCAGTTTATCAGTACTTTTACTATCTGCAGACATATGAACTCACTGATCAGAAAACATGACTGGTGAGTCAGGCCGTGTGTTCTCCAGATCTGTCACAGCATTCCACTCATTGATACAACTCTGCTCTGAGGATATGCAGCTCTCATAATAGCCAACCCATGTAAGGGCCATCCCTCCTGGGAAATGGTTGTATCTGCGGGATACCTCACATGCTTTGTGCAACACCTGGATGGCAGACCTGCAATATACATCAAATCAAACATAAACGATTTATGAAGTGTGTGAGAACACACTATTAAAATATCACCAGAAAAAAAAGCACATTATAAATGCACCATAAGAGGATATGTAATAGTAAACGTACCACATGGCCTGTACTGACACAGGCTTAAAAACATATAGTCTTCCTGCTGTGCTCACACTGAAACCTCTGGGGGTGAGAGAGAGGAGTTCAGGCATGTAAATTATGAGCTATGACATTGCTGTGATATATGAATTAGTAATTATACAGAAATGCATAAGCAGGCAGCAGGACGATGTTGCTTTCCCGGGTTGGTCAGTGGAACAACTTTACACCACAAACCAGTGGAAAATTCTCTCTAAATAATGCGTCTGTCAATAGCCCCCATGTCACATGCACGGAGATCATAACATGTTATTTCGTACTGAACCTGTAGAGGTCATTCTCTGTACACACATATAAATTGATTTTAAATGTGACCAAACATAGACAGGCTGACAGATAACAAATCCAGTGTATTTCTATGTATGGCATGTGTAAGCAATCAATTAACTGAGAAAAAAAAACATATACTGAAACAAAGTAAAAATGGGTCAGGAAAATGAATTAAAGTTAATTAAAGACAAGACACCTAAAGCCCAAAAATAGGATTTAACCTTTGCCTTACAGGAAGTGAATTAAGATATTTACCCATCTCCATCCAAGTGAATGTTGGTATCACTCCAAAGTGGAAGAGTCATCCCAATAGAGCAACTTTTACTACAACAAACAAACAAACATACATTTGTGTCTACCAATAAGTGTGGGATAAAGAACACAATGAATGCATACAGGCTGTAAGTTAGAACAATCGGATTCCTACCTGTCCTTATCTGTAAAATCCATCCCAAGCAGTATGTTTTCTTCAGTGTCCTGACGCCCATTTGTGTAGACAACCATCATGTACCGCACATGGTTTGTCCAACCGCTTTCTAACCTAACAACCTGTTGATGGAGACGGTGTACATTGGTGTATGCACATTGTGAGCAGTAGCCATTCCTACATTGTACTAGACACGATGTACTTAACTTACTAGTTTAATTCTATCCTCAGCACGGAGGGTGTTTATCATTACTTGTAGATGCTGTGGTAGATCCCCTTTAACAACAACGACAATTAAAGAACAAAAATCAGATTATTTTATGGACAATAAACTACTATTTTCATCAACAATAACATAACAGTGTAGCAGTTATTAAAGGAAAATCCACTTTTATTGTTGTGGTTCAGGGCAGTAACCACCAGAAGACATTGAGGTGGGGAAGTTTCCCCCAATAATTAGAAATGGCCAAATTGCTCACACCAATATTTGATATTCTTGATGCTCTTCTGCTGCACTCCATTACACACTGTTCTGTTTGTTGTTACCATGACAAAAAGACATTTTCAAGGTGTTTTTCCTCAACGTTCTAACAGCATTGATCAATGACTAAATGACTGAGATGGCTAATCAATTTAAAAAGAAAGGCTTAGCTGTTCACAGAAACCAAAAACTTCACTTTTAACTGTGAAAAAGTATGAAGATGAAAGCAGCCAAACATTTAATATTTGACAACTGTTTTACAACAGAAATTTTAAACAACTGACAGTAATATCTAGTGATGCAAAATACTTTATTTATTTCCTTGAATACTTAATTTCTTCAAATTCTTCACACACACAAAACTGATCATGGTTATGACCTTGTTGTGGATTACCTGCATTTTTATGATGGGTGGGTGTTCTGGGCCCTTGTGCACTGCTGCCTTGCTGTAAAAACAGAGCTGCCCCTTTTACCATGAAGAAACTTTCACTCAGGCTGAAATAGGCCACACACACAATTATGAAGACACTCCAAAATTAAGATTTTTATCATAGTTAAAAAAGGATGAATGGATTAAATAAGACGAATAAAAATAGCACTGACCTTAGGTTTGCCTTTCGATCATCATCACTGCCTAAATCCTGACAAATAAAACAGCAGATCACCAGGCAGAGTATCTATTCAATGACATCATTGCAGTGAGTGTACTGAGAGTAGTGAAGGGAAGACTCGGTTCTTTCGATCAGCTCGTTCGTTTCAAAGAACCAGTTAAAAAAAAAAAGATTCAGCTATTCTATTAGGTCAGTGGTTCTCAAACCTCTCCATGAAGTATCCCCAGCACTGCACATTTTGTATGTCTCCCTATATCTGACACACCCACTTCAGGTCTTGCAGTCTCTACTAATGAGCCGATGAGTTGAATCAGGTGTGATAAACGAGGGAGACATACAAAATGTGCAGGGCTGGGGGTACTCCAGGACAGGTTTGAGAACCACTGTATTAGGTCATGGAATCGTGGTCCCTGACAAGCACGGCATTTAAAGATGTTTATTGTAATTTTTTACCATGAAGAAACTTTCACTCAGGCTGAAATAGGCCACACACACAATTATGAAGACACTCCAAAATTAAGATTTTTATCATAGTTAAAAAAGGATGAATGGATTAAATAAGACGAATAAAAATAGCACTGACCTTAGGTTTGCCTTTCGATCATCATCACTGCCTAAATCCTGACAAATAAAACAGCAGAAGTGGAATTACAAAGGGCCCTGGTAGAAACTGTATACTGTATGAAATTACTTTGCATATATCAATCAATTCTGGATGTCTCTAATTATGGTTTAGAGATACAAAGCCATTAACACCAGACTGTTTGATGAGACAGATCCAGAAATGTAAGCCCAAAACGAAATTCTTTAAATAGTAAGCAGAAACATTTTATGCTTAAGCAAAACAAAAATACTTTGGATAGATTTAGGGCACATTAAAAAATGAAAGCCTCAGGGATGAACATTACTGTGGGCTTATGTTATAGTAGGCTAGCTCATAAGTGGGCTGTCTCTAAGAAGCCTGAATAGCGGGTACTCCAGGACAGGTTTGAGAACCACTGTATTAGGTCATGGAATCGTGGTCCCTGACAAGCACGGCATTTAAAGATGTTTATTGTAATTTGATGTGCCCCAGTTCAGTCAGGTGAAGTCATGATTTAGCTAACAAAGTCATTTAGAAAATACATAGAAGCATTCATATTAAACAGTATGAACATTAATTTACCCCTTTTGTCTAAAAACGTTTTTGCATGAGTTTAAAAAAATCTTATCTAACCCACTCATAAAACCGTAAACATTCCAATATGTTTAATTTTTCACATTTCAATAACTTCATAAATAAAGTAACCTAACTTTGAGCTATATCATTCATAATATAGATGCACTTAATTGTACATAACTTTCAGCTCATTATCAATGAGCACATGCCCGAACAGAGATTTCTCGGTTTAATGAGGCGTTTACTCGATAACCATTCTGACAGAGTCAGTCCGTTTCGTAATCAATTTAAGGCAGGTTTTATGAATCAGTTCAACCGATTCTTTTAAAAGATTCGACTCGTTGTACAAATAATGAGGTTCGTTCACGAATCGTACATAGTGAGAACTGCCAAACGCTCAATTGGTCATAAGTAGGCTATCATATTACTAAGAAACCGGTGTAAGCATATTTGTGGTATGGCTGAATTGATACTGCGTTAAATATACAAGGCAGTCGATTTATGACCACTTTATCCTCAACACACACAAATAAGATACTGTTATTGAATGTAGGGTAGGATAAACAGTGAAATAATAATTGCACCATGCACCTACATCCACTAAACCACATACACAAATATATTTGAACATTTCAACAACATAACCATAATTCAGCACTGGCATGTTTTGTTTTGTTTGGGCAAGTCAAGTTAATCCCCATCATCACTCGCGCTCTCTCATACACACTGCCTGAAAAAAAAGCCCCCTCATGGCTAATGTGAAAACTTCAGCGTGCGCTCGTCTACACAGCAGGCTGAACTCGGTGACTTATAGTATCAGATTTGCACGTCATTAGAAAGGAGAAATGATCCCCGAGCCACAGGCCCAGCTAATATTAGCTGTTTAAGCGTTATTTACACATGCATCCCCAGCATTTCCCCCGCCGGTCAGCCTCCACTCACCTCCCCCGCGTTGGTGCTGGCTGAGGATGCGGCGCTGGGTGTAGGGGAGCGCTGCAGAGTCACCAGAGCCATGGCTGCAAACGCTGCAAAGCGTTCAGGGAAACCTCAGGCGCTCCGGTCCGAATAGGACACGCCGAGATTACCCGTTCAGCACCCGCCAGTGACGGGGTTAATGCATTCAGAGGCGCATTAAATCTAATTTAGCGGAGCGATAAAACCATCCAACTCAGCGATTCGGCAAATTCTCATTCACGCCAGCGATGCCAATAAACAACGGTCTGTGCTCTATCTTCCCGGCTGGAACGTTGATTTAGTGGCCAGACATTATGGACCTTGTTTCTGGACCCGCCGTCCGTGGTTGGTGAAGTTCTGTGATCGTCTGCGTTAGATATGGGCTTGTGGGCCAACCGCGTGAAGGTGACTTGCACTTCTCCCTGACAACAGTGCATCCTATGCAGACTCAACACCCAATCATCCACATACTACTTGAGCCCTTATGATGTAGCTTGATCGCTAGATTTTTCCTTCCTCCCTGTGACGACGACAAATTTGTATGTTTCAGCAACCAAAAATGGAGCTGAGTGTGTGTTTTGTAATGCAAATTCAACCCCTGGTTAAATACTCTATGAGAAAACTAAACAAACAAACAAACAAACGTGTGTTAGCCGTTGTTGACCATTTTTAAATGTAGCTGATATACACATTTTAAATTCGTTCCAATTAATGTGGGCTTATTCTATAGTATGCTCATTTTGTCTCTTCCTAGAAAAATTAAATACAAAATACTGATGACTCATCTTGCACTACAAACATTTGTCCAATCAAATTCTCTCTAGAGCAAGAATGTCCCTCCCCCTGCAGTCAGTCAGCAAGTAGCAAATCGTGACTCATGACTGCTGTCACAACTGCAGTCTATTGGCATTTGGGAAGTTGTGAGAAAATGAAGCATAACATTAAATCTTGACGAAATGTCACACAACAGGGCAAAGCAATGTTGATACAATCCACTTTTATGCTAAACATATTTAGAGCTTCTCGAACTCGTTAAAACTTTGTTTTAATATAAGTCAATAGTGTTTACTATAGTTATATAGTAATTTGTTGAAAATATAATTTGTTGTGATTGACAGTTATTAGAAATGTGTCAGAAAACATTTGCTACTACCATAGTTTGCTATCGGGCCAGTACTATACCAGACGCTTGTGTAGCACTGAGATTTTAGGAGAAAAACACAGACAGTATGCGTGCATGTAGAGTTCATTGGAAAAACATCAAAAAAGGAGAGAAATCGATACTTGTGTAACTGAAAGACCCAACAAAATAGTTTGACAAGTTCTTGGCATCATAAACAGCTTAATGTAAAATTAATTACAATATTTTATGTGCATAATATATACAAAGAAATTAACTATTTATTTAAAAATGTACTTTAGAATGCATTTACATAACATTCGGTATATACAGGTATGGCACGATTATACATTATGGCCTTCTCCACTATTAATCCGAAGATCTCACAGATTCAGTTTTCCATGTGCTGTTAAGGACACGTGTTGCTGGAGGACTCGGCTGTCTCAGAGCCATGCGGCCTTTCCATGTTTTTTTGTTCCATGGTGCTTTGCGTTGATTCCTGGAGGCTCCGCCCTGTTGTTTCCATGGGCAATACCAAGGATGCCACTGTACCCAGCAAGCAACATTAAATACGCCGAGAGAGTCAGGTAAACCGATGACTTCAGAAGGACCTGAAGAGATACAGACACAAACACACATACAGGAAAGCATCAATACACTTTAATCTTCTTATGAAACCAGAGGAATGCTTTACCTGAGCAATAAATGGTGTGATGAGAGCTCCAACACGAGACATCCCACTGCCTTTACCAATACCAATAGCTCTGGTTGCTGTGGGGAAAACCTGAGGAGGCCAAGACAAGAAAAAAGGAAATCGCATTTTAAATGAAAATTCTACTGGGATTGACTGAAGCACAATAAGCCGCTTTGCAAGAAAGCCTCACCTCAGGTGTATAAACATATGCAACCTGCCAGCCCCCTGTTATACAGGCTCGAGCAATGAAAATAAAGACTGTGAGAACTGTCCTGGAAATTGTAAAGTAAAAGATAAACATGTTTTGTCATTTACAGTGGCTTAAAAATATTTAGGCACTTCTTTTTCTTACTTTTGCAATTACAAAGTTGATTTTTGCATCCTTATTAGAATCTGTACAGGTTTTTTTTGATGACTTTATGAATTTACCTTTGTGTACAGGCATACAGTGGCAAAATAGACACAGAGAACAATAAAAAACAAATTGCCATGCTTTTTTTCAGGCCAATTCGATCAATCATCCACAGGGTGACCAGAATACCTGTTCTGACATCAAGACACAAATCACACAGTTGTCTATTCGTTTATATGTAGCTCATATAACAATGTTTGCATTTAGGTTGATTAACTAAAAACAGCAACATGAGAGGAGAGAATGACTTCATGTCACCTGGAAATTCTGCTAAGGTGGTCCACAGAAGGTCCACATAATCATGAAAAGTCAGATAATTGCACTCCAAACTGCACTGAGGTTCCATATTTGAGTTATCAGTAACTGGAATTAGACACATTTTTACTACAATTCACAACACATTGTGCTTAACCTGTTTAAAATGTATGAGAAATTAAAGATATACTCTTCAAAAGTTTGGGGTCAGTAATCAAAAGTGACAGTAAAGACTGTTTTTAATGTTCTATTCATCATATATATATATATATATATATATACCACAGTTTCCACAAAAATATTAAGCAACAGTTTTTGGCACTTTAGTAAGAAATGTTTCTTGAACATTAAATCAGCATATTAGAATGATTTCTGAAGGATCATGTGACACTGAAGACTGGAGTAATTACTGCTGAAAAATCAGTTTTGAAATCACAGGAATAAATTAATATATTAATTTATTATAATTTATATTACTAAAATATATTAAAATAGAAAATTGTATTTCAAATTGTAATAATATTTCACAATATTACTGTTTTTACTGTATTTTCCATCAAATAAATTCAGCATTGGTGAGTATAAGAGACTTCTTTCAAAAACATACAAAATCTTACCGACCCCAAACTTTTTTTGTGTAGTTTAGATTTGTGGTCGTAGTCCCAGTTAAACACAAAAGTGCGTTAAAATCAAGCGTGTGCACATTTTATGATGAGCTTGGTCACAAAAAGTACTTTACAAACCACTCACCACTACACGCAGATCCAGCTTGGAAGAGTTCAGTGGTCAGCAGCACAAGACCATAATATTAAAAAGCATTACAAAACCTGTGTGTAAAACATAGGTGATTTTTTAGTTTTACATTAAAAAAAAAAAAGTTTTATATGGAAGGATCTGACATTTTTAACAATCTGCATACCAGATAACCCAGACCAAAAGTGTTGTTTTGCGGTATTCTGGAATAAAAAGGTCTCTAATTCTCCCACGCTCAGTCTAAAACACATAAACACAAATCAATGGCAACTCTACTTTACAAAATAAACATAAAACCCCCAAATTTGAAATTCTTCAATAATGTGTGAGTAGGAGATTTTGAGAAAAGATGTAGGACTGTTAGCCCCACATACCTGTGTGTTGGCTATAAGTCTTCCAGTAGGCACAGAGCTCCCATTAGCTGCTGCTATATATTTCAAAGTGTCCAGGGCCTTGTCTTCTCTGCCTCTCAGTACATCAAATCTAGCACTCTCTGGTAACCACTACATGACAAATACACACAATTCACAACCAAACAATAGAAATAGTAGTATATTAAGGCACCTGGACACTAGCCTTATGTCTAGTAACAGTTTACATTGTTACAGCCATACATACACAGCAGGAGGCAGCAAAGACAACAAGAGGAAGGGTGGAGAAAGCTAGCAGCCATTTCCAGCCTAATGTGGGCATGACCACCATAGCCAGTAACACTTTAAACACAGCACCCAAGGCCCAGAACACCTATTAGCACAGAAGATTGATTCATTTATAATTCATTATTATCAAGACTCATTATAAGGACAGCAACATGTCATAAGATAATTAAGGATACTGTAGACTTTAATAATTCTCATTGTGAGAGAATTTTATAAAGGCATGTTTATGTTATATTTAACCTAATATACATTGTTTCAGTCAGTTACAACACCAAACAACTATCTCAGTAAAATGTATAATATAATTGCATATTGAAAAACGTAATAGTTGAATAAACAGTCATCTGAATTACCCCTAACAGGATTATAGATATCCCTCTGGATTTCATCGGGAGGAATTCAGTATATAATGTCACTCTGTAAGGGAATGAATGAAATATGATCAAAAAACCATGATCCTTCAGAAATCATTCATATATTCTGATTTGCTGCTCAAGAAACATGTTGAAAACTGTTGTGCTTCTTCATATTTTTGTGGAAACTGTGATACATTTTTAAGATTCTATGATGAATAGAAAGTTTAAAAAACAGCGTTTATTTGAAATATACATTTGGTAACATTATAAATGTCTTTACTGTGATTTTTAGCAATGCGTCCTTGTTGAATAAAAGTATTCTTCTAATTAAAAAAAATCTTACTGACCCCTACAGATTCAGATGTAACAACAGTGTTGGGGGTAACACATTACAAGTAATGCGAGTTATGTAATCAGATTACTTTTTTCAAGTAACTAGTAAAGTAACGCATTACTTTTTAATTTACAAGAGAATATCGGAGTTACTTTTTCAAATAAGTAACGCAAGTTACTTTTTTTTCCCCAATGTATTGATTGACAACTGTCCTGTCCCCATGTTGAGAGAAATAGTTCTAAAATAAATATGAATATGCAGTAATTCACCTCACTCACAAAAAAAAAAAACACAGATTCAGTATTCCTCAAAATGAATAAGAATAATGCGACTCAGAATATGACGCAAACCTGCAATAATTAAATGAAGCCCTGTCCAGATGTAAAAAGTAATGCAAAAGTAGCGTATTACTTTCCATAAAAAGTAACTAAGTACCGTAATTCGTTCCTTTTTTTTATGGAGTAAGGCAATATTGTAATGCATTACTTTTAAAAGTAACTTTCCCCAACACTGTGTAACAACACAACTGATTATAGATTAAATGACTTGGCAGGTTCTTTGTAGTAGTGAGCAACTGAACAGGTTTAATGGTCTCTGAGGGAAATACGGCAGTTTAGAAAATTGTATGTTTTTTAGCACATGATGATGTAAAAGCAATGTCCAAAACAATGTAGACACTAATGAGAATACATTCTGCCTTCAAAAGAGCTTAATATCTAGAACATGAATAAAAAGTACCATAAAAAATACTTCACATTCTTTCTGAGTGTTGCTCACTTGAATGTCAATTATGAGTTTGCAATGAATCACACTTCATTCATTGTTCATTGATGGAAAAACTCACGACTGAGGGGCTCCTCCCAGGCCAAATCCCACGAGGCATCGCAAGACTAAGATCCAGCTGTAAACAGGTGCAAAAGCACTGAGAAGCCCATAGTGCAATGTCCACAGCATGCAGAGTATTAAACACTAAAAGATGGAGATGGCGAGGCTGTCAGTGAGGCAACAGTGACTGCTTTATGTTCTTATAAAGAATGCTTGCATTGACATTATTTATTTACTCATTTCACTTGTGCTAGATTTAA